ACCTCTTCTGAGCAGATGACATGAAACGCATTAGAACGTTTGGAGCTAGTTATATTTGAAATCCGTGCATTGGTGGTTTGATTCGGTTGACTTTTTGTTTATAGATGTCACATAAGAACTTTTTCTTCTTCTGTAATTTCGTTGTTGGTGAGCCTCACATTCCCGTCACATTCATGACCATGGATACTGTACATACATCCCCATTATGGCTTACGGTGAAGCGATATTTCACATCTCTTAAGCCTTCTCAAGATGTATGCTTTCAAAGAGTTCTGATATGTATTTTGAATATTCCAAATGCGGGACATTTTGTGAATTTTTGATATACGTATATGGATGATTTTTATTTTCACTGCCATGACAAAAGATCTGTGATCTTCTCTCCTCTGCAGATTGTATTGATGGTGAAAAATGAGCCTCATTTTCTTTTGTATAATACTGCAATTGTTTTGTGCTGTATTCCTCCTACACAGTGTAAAGTTTTATTGTTATGTTATTGCTATTATTGCTGAGTTGACTGCTTCGAGACAAAAATGCAGATTTCTTATGGAAACCGATAGCCTTGAATCTATAGAATTTTTATGCTAAGAAAAAAGAATGTATAGACAATCTTGTCACAATCAGAAGCTACTCAAAGCGCTGACCTCCAGCGGATATTTTCCCACAAAATCATGGTTTTTATCCTGGTTTCACCCTCTCTCCATCGACCTGCTGTCTTGTGTTTCAGGCATGCGGTTTGAAATAAGCTAAGTGTAAGTGTGTCAGGCCTCGAGGTGAAGTCTGCCACCACATGACAGGCCGCATAGCAGAAACACCCCAGACTGTACACACACATAGACTATATGTTACAATATATTTAGTATTCCCCCCCCCCTTTCTACTTTGTCCTTTTTAAATTATACGTTTCTATGCTTGCACTTTACGTTCTTTACTTTGTTTTTATTTTGTAAGAAATATCACATTGCTGTAAAGCATGTTAAGTTTGCAGGTTACATTATTGTAGCTCCTTTTTGTTCATTTGTATTGCATTCGTATATATTTTCTGCAATAATGGGAGCACAGGGGAAATTAGGGATCACCCATTGAAGGAAGCTGTACCTCATCCCACTTTGGTTTTTGTACCGTAAGAAAGAGCTCCGTTTGTTTAAACATCTAAAACACTCGTCTGCCTCGTCTCAGGACTGTGGACATTTAGTAGCTTGTAAACTTCTAGGACTTGGCAACAGCATTCTGATTTGAATGGTTTAAAACTGCACCGTGAGTGTTAAATGTAGCCCTAAGTGACGTGATTTTACAGCAGATCGTTAATTATACAATGTACTCTGTACGAGGGAAACGTACTGTTTTTGTACATCGGATGGGAAATGTGATTGTAAATGTTAAACTGAAACAAAGTTGATATTCGAGATCTGAGCCAGAAGGAAATGTATTGAGCCACAGTAACCCCTCTTTGTTTACATTTCCATGTGTATGTCTAAAGGAGGATGTTATATTTCATCAGAAAGTCAAAATATATATATATATATATATATATATATATATATATTTTATTTATTTATTTGCATACATTCAGAACAATGGCATTGGGGATGTATGGAAATACTGAGTCCATTTATATTCACACTTGTTTCACTTCCCTTTATTTCAAATACCTCTGTAGAGGCGAATCTCATTTTTGTACTTGCTATCAATCTGATCAAATGTAAACTTGCAAGAGATAAACTTGTATTTATGCTACTGCTGCCTGCTTAGTTTGTCCAGCAGCGAGCCTAAGACGAAAGACTGTCTTTCTGATGGCTTATTGTCTGCGGACCAACAAACTGAACGTTCTGTTTTCTCTGTCGCTTTACTTCCTGTCTTTTTCTATACTAAACAGGTTTTATTTTATTAATGCATTTTGATGCTGAAGAGTCATTACTGCAAGCTACTTTGAATTTGTCTGTTCAGGACTGCTATGATATAACTTGTTAATGTGACTCTTGGATTGAATAAAAAAATGAAATGTGAACATACAGTTGTGTCACTTGGACAATGTTAATTGTGTGTGTTTGGTTGCATGATTTAGAGATGGAATGTGTTGTGCACAAAACGGCAAGAAAGTGTTTACATTCTGCTCAACTTGAAATGGTAACCAAATTCCCTGCACCACCTATAGATGTCTCCACCTTGAGGTAACATGGTGGCAGTGCTGTCTTGAGTGCAATTGCATCAGGTATGTTGAAGTTTTTCGTATAACTTGTCTCCAAAATATCTTTGTTTCACATAATTCTTATATCTAAGTATGCAGTGGTATTGGCAAGACTCTGGCAGCATGTCTAAGATATATGACGTGCATCTTAATAGGCAAGTTGAAGTTTACGATCATCAAAGCTCTCCTTAACGAGGCCTGTGTTTGCTGTCATTGATTACATGTTGATGTCGTTGTGTGGCATCGGGGGTGGTTACTTTATAGCTGCGATTGAAGCGTATCCACTAGCTATATGCATGATATTTATCATTGAATATCTGTTGATTGATTTATTTGCTTCCCTGCCTGTCCTTATTGTATGCTACTATCCTGTCTCTTTCCCTCCAGGCTTGTCTGATTGGCAAATTTTGTGGCACAATATTCCAAACTTTTTATTAGCCATACAATAGCGGCATGGCTGGTCGGTCCACCACTTTGGTGCAGACTATTATTATTTCAAAAACATTCCTGGTGCTCAGAGCATGAACGTCAGCATGTTAGTCCTGACAGGGTTGATATTTCTCTCAAAGCATACAGCCCCTTGCATGGCTCCAGACTCGTAAAGTCATTAGGGTAGGCTATGTAAGAATCAATCCTATGATCTTGTGTGTGATGGGCCTGTGCTCATATGAAACTTCTCAAAGTAGATGTTCTGCTGGAGATCCAGATCTCACAGCTTGCAGAAACTTACAATAGAAAATCATTTCCCAGGGCAAGGTGGAGCATTGTTGTCAGTACGTAAGGTCCAGTGTTTGTGCTTTTCACTTCACTTTCAGGATGGCTGTGTGAGTAAGCTGAGGGAAATCTTTAGTTATTGACATGTTAAACGTTTTGCCTTTGTTTGAAGGAAAGACTATTTTTTTTAAAGCCCCCAGGTTACATCATTTGTATTGTATGATTTCCCCCTCATACCATTCCTCAGCCCTCTTGAATCCCTTTTTGTCCCCTCCCTCCCCTTCACCATTCTTCTCTCTGGGTCTCAGCTGTTGCATTCATGAAAACAAGACACTCGATTATGTTCACCTCATCCGGAAACCTCATACATCCAGCTCGGCCTACATCGACCCAACAATTTCTAATATGAGGCCCGAGGCTTGATGGATTGTTGTGGTGCCGCGGCGTTGATGTGAGGGATTAGTGACCGATTGATCACTGCGATTGGCTTGCAAACAACAGTCATTTTGGATATGAGGGTCATAAATATGTCTGTGGGTAGCAGCTTGATTGGGTTATTTTAAAGCCCCGGTCCTGTTCAGGTTAAGTTTGAAATAGGAGAGGTCTGAATGTCAGGGCAACAAAAAAAGGGCACCTGGTTTGATGTGTAGTTCAAAGTAGGGACTTAAATGTTATAGATTGAGATGAACCGTTTGATTTAACAGGAATTAAAGGCACTGGAAACTCAATTTCTTCATCAGCATCTTACTTCGAGTGATGGGGTACTGAGATGCAAAAGTTCAGTTTATTCTATTTCAATTGAGGTATTTCTGTATTTGTCTGTGCTTTTTTTCACGAGTTTGAAGTGGGCAGGGCTCTGTTGGAAGAAGATGATGTCACTTACTCCCACGAACCAATCAGGATTCGGCCATGTTTGATTCAGAATCTGATACTATTTGTTGGGTTGTTTGCTTAAATTGCCAGGACAATGTCAATCAAATCTGAGCTTACCACACCCACACAGTCCTGATGGAGCAGACAGCATTGACTGCTTATATAGTAATTCATGTTTGAAGTTATTAAGAAAAACTAATGATGTCAAGCCGTGATTTCAGGTGCTTTAAATAGTTTTGTCATATCTTTTTCACACCGTTTAGGACTGACGACATAATTTATCAAACAACATTTTCCTGCTTTATTTGTTGAGGAGTTTGCACCACTTCAGTAGAGTCACTTTAACAACATTCAGCCACAGCTGTTGCACTATTGTACCACCCCGAGGATTCTTTGTAGAATGGAGCCAAAATTCTGATCTCCAAGAAAATGAATAGAATAATATGTCTTGAGCAAGAGATTATAATTTCACACCAATTAAGTTGTTTTTCAATTGTTTGAATCAAAATCTAGATACGCATTTCATTATCAAGGACCTTTTGCTGATTTGTCAAAAATGTGGGATTAAAATTAGGAGGATGATTTTAGAGTGAAACTAAATGAGAAAACTTTTTTTCTATTTTTCCTTAAGGGACGCTCTAAGAATTTATTTGTATGTATTTATTTATATATTAGCGGTTCTAACCACTCTCATCTTAATTAAAACATTTCATCTACCGGGAGACATGATTCATGTATAAAGAAAACATCTGTTGCATTTTCACACTATCATGCTGTGAACACCTTCAACTAACTTGAAGCTTCTGCCACGCCAGTGAATCTCGTGCTTCAGAGCCATAATGTGCTTACATTATACCTACATTATACTTACCTTTAGAATAAAACATCTGGGTCTGGTGAGTGATGGTGAAAATAGAGAAGTTTTCAAATATTACACTACACAACAAATATCAATCGATCAATGCTGCTTGCAGCTTTAATATTTGTTTGTGTTTCACAGATTTACAGAGAAAAGTCATTCAAGGGAAGATGCTTAAATCAGCTGAGAAGAAAAAATGCAATGATGTGAGAGAGAGGAGGAGGAGGAGGAGGAGGAACACATCTAGCTCGGGTGAGGAGGAGGGAGGGAGGAGAGAGTGACGGTGATGGGGTGGAGGGGTGTTGTTGATTGATTCTCCTACAAGAGTGGTATCGCAGTCAGATCTTCATACCAGACCCACAGGCTGCTCTGGGATCTGTGTCTGTCACTGGAGCCAGGCAGGTTGGGAGGGCTTTCCATAACTCCCCACAGATTACCGGTTCCAGTCGACTTTTTCTGTCTTGATCCTCATCTCCTGTCCTATTGTGACTATATCTCTCACTGTCTTTTTTTATTCTTTCAGTTTCTATAAACATTTATGCTACGTAAATATGGTCAGCATCAGTTTGCAGCACACTGAAGAACATCCGCACAACTGGAATTAAATTGTTTAAACTGACAACTGAAGGAGCTTTTACCTGACATATTTCAAAGGTGAGTGTTTTTGTATCATTAAAAATGTTTCTTTTGCAATGTAAAAATTGTTATGTTATTTAATTTTATTATTTTAATAAATGTATTTAATAATACAGTATTTGGCTAATACCAATGGTGTGTCATGGTGACAGGACATTTACAGAATAAATGATAGAATTTGACAATATAGCAATTCAGTGGAATAACAAAGGGTTAAATATAATGATGGTCGTTAAAGTTTACAATTTGAATCTTGAAAATTATGGATATTCCGTTTTCAACAACTTTTAGATTTACTGTTTTTATCTATAAAAGAAAACAGCAACATGAAAAAGGGAAAAAACTGCATTATAGTACAAAATGTAAAACATGATTTTATTCATAACTTTCTTATATTTACCTTTTGGGTTTAATACTGGTACTTTTTCTACAAATTTATTTTATTATTTTCGTGAAAAGTTTTAAAGGGAAATCTGAACAGAATTATCTGGACAACATGTTGACGTTAACAGGGTTCGTAGACACTCGGCCAAATCTAAACAAAATGGCGATCAACAAGTGTGAAATGAAATGAGCATGCTGCGATGGCCTGGTGGAGACGCTCCCCCCCTGTTACCCTCAGACTCGATCCCACTCTCTGCTGTTCTCCACTCCCCTCTTGCTCTTTATGTATTAATTCAGGTAAAACCTCTAGATGTTGACATCAATTAATATATTTAATGACATATCCTTACTCTTTTATGTGTTTATCTCCTATAATGTCTGCTTAACATGTTTTTTGCAAAATTTCTCTCTTTCTATCGTGTTGAACCCGATTAAGTCCGATTACATTCGCAACTATAACTCAATTTCCCCAAAAGGGATTAATTATGTTCTACCACGTGTTTATCTCAAGACTCTTTCTTCCTCCTCCACATCCACCGGCATTTCACCATCGAAGGCTGTGCAGTGGTCACCCCTCCGTGCTGACAGAGAGAGTCCCTGTCGGCCTGATGTCTTCGGTTGTAGCCCCGGAAAAGCCCACCTCCAACACCATGGGCCCCAAAGAGGTTAGTGCGTATCTGACCCAAGTAGTGCATTAATGGCATGCAATTCAGTGTGATTAAGAAAACCTTGAATGAATCACAGTATGGGGCAAGCTCCTTAATTACGTTAATTTATCTCTGATTTGGTCCGTCTGACCTAATTTCTACAGCCCTGAAAAGCGTTGGGTGGGGAAAGAATCGTAATTGTAACGAAAGCCACATTTTCTTGAGGCTAAAATGAACTGAATGACGTCTTGAGTAGAACTCAGAGGACAACATGTAACGCCTTGGCTGATGTATGAAGAATTAATGAAGTGAAGGTGATAGCCACCGTCTGTCATGAGTGGGAATTGAGAGAATAATAAAATCAAGGTGATACTTTGGTGACTAAAAGAGACTTTAAATTACCTGAGTATGTTTTCAGCGCCTGTTGAATCGGATTGATTTTTACCTCCTTGACTTCCACCTCTTTAGGTGGAGCTGATCTTGGTGAAGGAGCAGAATGGGGTTCAGTTCACCTCGAGCACCATTGTGGCTCCGACTCCTGCTCAGATCAACCAGAGTGGGGAGGAGGAGAGGGAGACCTGGGGGAAGAAAATCGACTTCCTTCTGTCTGTGATCGGATTTGCCGTGGACCTCGCCAACGTCTGGAGATTTCCCTACCTCTGCTATAAGAATGGAGGAGGTGAGATGGATTAAAGGGGTGAGGGGAGGAAGCTGATATTGGCCCATGTCCAAACGGTCCCATCCAGAGACTGTTGTTAGTGGGCGCATGCACTTTACTCGCATGAATGCACAGACTATTTGCACATGTATGCAGATCTGTGTGCGTGTGTCTGTGTGTGTGTTCCTTGTGCTCGCTGAGTGCAGTTTGAGATTTTTTTCCCCCTTTTACAGAGATCAAAAAAGGGGAAAAAGCACCACAGCTGCTCTGAATAGATTAGCTCTAACAATCACTGCCACTAATTATAGCTGTTTAACATAGAGCTCTCATTACGTTTAGGAGCTATAAATAATACTGTAGACATAGTCGAGGCTGGCATGCTGTCACACCTGTATTTTGGGGAAAATATTAGTGTTAAATTTGAGTCAATTACCGCCAATATTTTTCTCTTATTATTTGTGGTATTTTTTTTGATAGATGACAGTAAATTAGAGAGAGAGAGAGCCACCTGAGCCACCGAGGTGCCCGAACCCAAACTATTTTTAAGAGTGTTGATAATCATCTATGTTCCCTACTCTGAGACTTTACTAACGTTTGACCTGTCTGTGTGTGAGCAGGTGCGTTTCTGGTGCCATACATGTTCTTCATGGTGATAGCAGGCATGCCTCTCTTCTACATGGAGCTGGCTCTGGGACAGTATAACAGAGAGGGGGCAGCAGGCGTCTGGAAGATCTGTCCCATATTTAAAGGTAGGAATTGGCCATAGGACACATATTTAGATAGAAAGACAGACATGTGAAACTGGAAGATGTACACAAGCAAATTCTTGACCACCAATGCTTTCACATGTATTTTAAATCTGTCTGTCATGGTGCGTACATGCCTGCCTGTCTGTCTGATAAAGGACCTTTAATATCTGCATGTCTTTCTGTCTGCTTGTCTGCCCACATGCCAGTCTCTTTTGTCTGCTTGTCTCCTGTGTTGAGCGGGGCGACAGGCATTGTTTATCCTCCCCAGAACATCAGGTTCTGTTGGCACTCAGATGGAAAGCAAATGAAAATTGGGCTTTTAGACTCTTGTCCTGATTGTCCAAATCCTTCTGTCAAATAGTGGCGGTGAACACTCTCGAGTGGTACTTTTCAACACATCGATAAGCAAAGCGCAGCTCAGGAGAATGCCATCCAAATGTGCACTAATGGAGAAACAAACATTAAGACCAATTCCTGTTTCTGAGCAAAGTCATTGGTTGGAAATATAATAATACACTTTGCTTTGTTCAACTTTATATTCAGTGTGTACTGTACGTACTCCTTCATGGTGTACATCTGTGTGTGTCTCTGAGCGTGTGCCTCCTGCGTGTGAACATGTGCCGTCTGTCAGGGACCACACCGAGTAGGTTGACGTTCTAATCACACGCTTCACTCTCTCTCTCTGTCTCTCAGCAGGGGGGATAACAGTAATTATTCAAATACACACATACACATGCCCATATTGACAGTAATTATTCTGATCAACAAGCTGGTTTCCTCTCAGGATCAATGCATTTGAAGAAACAGAGCGAGAGAGGCAAATGGAGAGATAGAGAGAGATGGCATTGCCTCATGTGGCGCTAATAAGAGGCAGCGCTCCCTGGACAAATATCACATCCACATTACAAAAGGAAGCAATAAGGCACACTTGTGGTCATGCCACTTGGCAAAAGATATAGAAAGGGTATAGATGCGTTGATAATTAAGGCATGAAGAGGCAATCTTTAGAAGTCACGGTGATTTTTATGAGACCGCAGGCGTGTTAAAGGCTGGTGTTTTCAAACTGAGTGAGAGGTTGTGCTTCGTGGTGTAATAATCCATCAGGATCTAGTCATTGTTCAGTACATTTATGCTTAAATTGGAACCTTGTGTGGAACATATTACTGTTTCTACTGATTCATAATGGCTCTCCATGACCAAATACATTAAAATCATAACTTGGTTAGTTTATAAACATTCCTGCAAAGTAATAATGTCAAAGTTCTCATTTATATATAAGTCACTCTCTATGGCTGGATGAGGTCACACACTGATGAAAGCCCTGGCATTCACAGGATGACGAACTGGGTGTCTGTGGCGACAATCGCGGGAAGTGAGATCCAAAAAACATGCTTGTTAAGATAAGCACTATACCACTGTCACTGTTCACTGCATGATAAAAGCATACAGCACGCTAAAGGTGTGCGTTGCATGAAAGTGTGGTCAACATCCAAGATAAGTTAAAGATTTGTTTCCTTGAGCAAGACGGTAAACAATTTCCCGATAAGCTAACGTTCATTAGAACAAGGCATACAATAGTATTTGTTATGCTTCTTTTGTGTGCTATAAGTATCCAGTTTCAGAGTTAATAATTGTGTGTTTTGGGAGCATTTTATGCCTTTTATTTGATAGCTAACAACAGAAAGATGACAGGAAAAGCAGAGAGAGATGCAGAGTGACATGCAACAAAGATTTTATAATCAAGTAAGTTCCACAAAAATGTGAAATCAAATCTCAACTGCTTGAGATTCATCAGCTCTACAGGCATGTGATGATGATCTCACGCCTATCATACTGCGTCACTATCTCACAATCAACGATATCACTGTAGAACCAGAAAATCAAAAATGCGGACAAACGAGCTTTGAAAGCTTCATAAACTATTCCACCTCAAAGCTTATTTTTAAATACCTACATGGTCAAAGCTACTTCACTGCTTAGTGAATTCGTTATAAGACACCAGCACATCTGTAGAGTCAACATACATTAACTAACTTAACATTTAACAAAATGTAACTAAAAGTTCTGTGGACATTTGTTGTATATTAGCGTTTCATTACAAACATGAAACACAGTGCATCTGGTGCTTGTGCACACATTTATGTTACAATTCTAACGCTACTGTGATGTCCATATCAAATATACTACACTAAAATGAAGAGGTCATAGGCCAGATGTGAAGTGGCTACTTTGCTTTAATGTTGAACTATGAATTGTATTTTATAGGCTAGTAATATGTCCATCTCTTTCTATCAATGCATCCCTATGTCTTTGATGCCTATAAATACTGTATGACTCATTTGTGTGCCCCTAACAGGTGTAGGCTTTACAGTGATCCTCATTTCCCTCTACGTTGGTTTCTACTATAATGTCATCATCTCCTGGGCGCTGTTCTACCTCTTCTCCTCGTTCACCAGCGAGCTGCCGTGGGTCCACTGCAACAACAGTTGGAACAGTCCTAACTGCTCCGACTGGGCTGACAACAGCTCAGTCGGTGACATTTACAAGGCCACCCCTGCTCAGGAGTACTTTGAGTAAGTTGGCCTGAACTCAGGCTATAATATTTGTTCATTAATATTTGTTTGATGTAGTTCATTCCTATTCAAGAATGTGCAATTACATAGATGTAAAGTCAGTTTGGAGCCCCACTTACTCTTGAAAATAGTTGTCATAGTCAAACTTATATGACAACTAAGCAGCTTATTGTGAATTTGAATTTTGGGACCTAAAAATGGAGAGACGAACAATAAAATGCCTTCATAACAAAATATTCTATTCCAAAATTAAGCAATACTTTATGTTAATGCTTTATCGTTATAACTGTAACTTTCTATACTAAATGCTATATATCTTATGTTGAGGTCTTTTGACCTACAGCAGATATGAACACTTCAAAACTTCTGCACTGTAAGGCAAACATAATATATACTTTATGTATATGTCCAGCTACTAAAACATTGGTGTAAAGGTTAGGCAGGATGTGCACAGGAAACGCGCACTATTTTGCAATAGCTGTAACTCTGTATGTTTATGCATCCATGTATTCACACGCACACACCCTCACAAACATTTGACCTCCATGGCAAATTTGAGGCTCATAGGGCGAAAAACTGTCCGCCAAAGGGAGGGGACATTTTTATGGACCGACACAGCTCGCTATAGAGATGCTGGCTGCAGGTAAAAGGTTTGATGCAATGCAGAAATAGAGTGAAATAAAACTGAAAAGGCTTATAATTTGTAATGTCTCAGAATATATATAACTATGAATACTTAAGGGAAAAAGAAAAATGTACAAGAGGTATGTTTTCCTCAAAATGGATCCAGTTTGGATGCATTTAGCTTATGCAGCCTCCTACGTTTGTGAAGCCGAACAGGTGTCCCCACAACAAGTGAGGGGTTGTTCTGTTGTGACAGTTGTGACAGTTGATCTGCGCCAGTTGAAATGGCAGTGTGCTATTCACACAGAACCACCTGCAGACAACTTGACCACATCGGTTGAACATTGACTGATCCTATTCAGTTTCATCTGTTGGGCTGTCTCTGAAATGATCTGAATCAAGGCCTCAGCAATGTTCAGTCTTTCAGGTGACACATTCAACTTTACAGAATGCAATAGAAAATTACGCTTTCAAATCTGTTACCTTTTATTGCTAGTGCAGTTTTTCTCTCTTGGCAGACTGTCATGATCTTTGAGACCTTTGACTTTTCTAAAATCCAACATTTTCAAGCAACAGATGCACCGACACTTCATGTAGCATCCGCTTGTCACCAATGAACCCCCAGGTACAGAGCTTCCAACGAGGCCAGACTTAGATTGTTAAGGCAATTTTATGCAGGATACAAGAACCATTTTCAGGTGTATACCTCAACTGATGTTGTGAGGACTCAGGGGGGGTTATAACTGCATTTTGTTTTCTGGCTGGGTCACTATGTTAAGGGTTTCTACCTCTGCCCAGCCTGGCAGTTCTTAAAACATGTCCCGGTTTAAATCCAGGGGATTATGTGTACTTGCCTCCAATTGTGGTTTTCAGGTTAAATCACATTGTCATGACTTTGAAATGATAGACCTTGAACTCTGGTGCGTACTGTACTGAATTGCCGCAATGACAACATACGTATGTGCCATTTAATGTATGCGTTGTCCTGTATATCAACTAGTGGACCATATTTGCCGCAGAAACTTTATAAACTATAAATAGGGACTCAGGAGTGGTCGTGGTCCTTACCAGAATACTCGCTTTCCTTAGACGAGGCGTGCTCCACATCCAGGACAGTAATGGTATCGATGATCTGGGCCGTCCACGTTGGCAGTTGACTTCCTGTCTCGGCGTAGTGATTGTTCTGCTCTACTTCAGTCTCTGGAAGGGAGTCAAGACCTCTGGCAAGGTGGGAAATGATCGCCATGTTTATTTGTATGTGAAAACCACAAAAGTACTATTCTATCCAAGAATATTTAAGTGACTCAATACCTCCAGTAGATTGCGGTCAGCACGCCTCGAGTTTGGATTAGTAGACAGCAGTAGCGACACTAGAGCAAAGCAATATACTGCTGTGGATGGGGGCAGCAGCAAAACATATTTTAGCCACCTAAAAGAAAGGCTCACTTATTAAAAAGCTTAATAGCTTATATTTCGTCCGGCCTTTCTGATGGGAAACTAAACTGAAAGTGAAACCTATCTATGCTCTCTAAGCATATATTCTTAATTTCGAGCACACTTAAACTGCCTTTTTTTTAAGTGGGCCCTTCTTTTTGGTGGCTAAAATAGGTGCTGCGGCCCCCGTCCACAACAGTAGCCTACATTTATTTGCTCTCATGGTGGTGCTCTTGTCTGTTTGTTCAAATTGGGGGCGTGCAGACCGCCGTCTACTGTACGTAATACTCATACCAGTTTGTTGAAATTCTCATTACATCCTGACAGCAATCAATCAATCTAATGCTCTGAAAAAAATCTAGTATCTGTGGCTGTTGCAGGACTGCAATAAGCCTGTGAAATCATTTCATTTGGCCCGAATATAGTCATTGGGTGGGCTACCTGCCTGTCTACCTGTCTACCTGCGTGTATTCTGCCCGTGCACTTATTGCTCATCATCGGAGTCCTTCACAAGCAGCTAGCTTGACAGAGTCCTGTAAATGTGTGTTTGTTTGTACCTCATGCAACCCTTTCAGGTTGTGTGGATCACAGCCACAATGCCCTATTTGGTCTTGACTGTACTGCTGATCCGCGGAGTCACTCTGCCCGGAGCCATCGATGGCATTAAGGCCTACCTCTCGGTGGACTTCCTGAAACTCTGTGACGCCAAGGTGAGTTTTAAAAGGAGAGGGGAGGGGGGCACGAGTGAGGTGAGAGTTGTGGGGGTGCTAGATGAGAAGAATAGAAGGCCTGGGAAGGTAACTGTGTCCTCTATCCAACAATAGTACTTCAAACAATGTGTAAGAACATTTTTAAAGTGAGGTTGCTCAAAAAAGACTAACATATGTTGTCCACTATATCATCCCAATGTGCTAAATTAGACTTCAAATGGCTATTGTACATCATAACAGAAAGGTAATTACTTATGCTCATTAAATACAAGTAGCAGCAGTAATAAAATGCAAGCATAGGATGATTCAATCATTTTAAAGTGAGTTCGTTTCTGCATTCACACTTGGAGCTTTTTTTTTAACAGTTGCAAACAGTCTTCCTTTTAAGCAGAACCGTTCTGTGTTCAAGGCTTTGCTAGCAACACGGAGTTACGACAATATAGACGTTATTTTCAATGTTAATTGTGGTGTAAGTGTTTTACTATTGCATGCAAAATAGGATAAGAATGGAGGATTGCAAGTAGATGGGAGGGAATTAAACATACAGTAAATGACAACAAGGCAGGGTTGAGAAGGAGTAGAAAACGAGACACACAAACACAGCACATACCCAACAAAATGAATCATCTTTAATTGTGGCTCTGGAGAGCGGGTTGTCCACCAATCGGATGATCGGCGGTTTGATCGCCAACTCCTTCAGTCCACATGTCAAAGTCTCCTTGGGCAAGACGATGAACCACAAATTGCTCTCCAAGGTTGTGCCATCAGTGTGAGAACGATTAGATTCGAATCTGAAGAGCAGGTTGGCACCTTGTATGGCAGCCTCTGCCATCAGTGTATGATTGTGTATGTGAATGGTAAAGCACTTGTAGTGTTTCGAAGACCAGAAAGGCGAGATATAAATGCAAGCCCATTTGCCATCGATTTACCATTGCAACATTGGTTTATAATGTTAAGTACTGTTAGAGAGGCATTTCCTCAAGGCATAAAAAAAGTGAGAAAATTGTTTGCGTTACCTGTCTCTAATATGTTCCTCATCTGTGAAAGCTGCTATCACAGCACTAAGGACCTCAATAAGTATGTATGCAGGACTAAAGGACTCCGTTTTGGAGAATGGGAGTGAAAGCAAGAAGAGAGATGCATGGCAGCAATTGGAGAATTAGATTAGATAGATTCATGGAGCAGTAATTTGCAAAATTACCCCCCGTATTCACGAGCGTCTTTCATCTACTGCCGTTGAATGAGTTTCCTGCAATTATCCCTAATAATGGCTTTTTTCCTCTCCTGTGTCTTTTGTTTGCCGCTTCACACAAGTGTGTTTGTTCTGTTGCTCCCCAGGTCTGGATCGAGGCAGCAACACAGATCTGTTTCTCTCTGGGAGTGGGGTTTGGTGTGCTAATTGCCTTTTCCAGCTACAACAAATTCAGCAACAACTGTTACAGGTACAGACACACAAGGAGAAAAAAAAGAGGGCATTCACAGAGACAGAGGATTGGGAGTTGCTTAAACACACACACACACACACAAACGCATGCACGCAACATAAACAGGTGAATTACAATAACCTTTGAAGCTCCTTGAAACCCGCTATGTCTTTGACACCATGCTGTGCCACAGACAGCCGTAACACCAATCACAACTGATGCACTCTTTGAAAATTATCAGCGTCCCACGGGAGCCTTTTATCTGCTTTTTTATGTTTCTGATAACTGACACATGATGACACTGTCCACCTTGAGGATTCCTCCATGAGCATAACACAAAATCACTGAAAATATATTTCGACAAAATGTCCCACTTTGAAAAGTAATGAAAAATTGCACATTTTCTGTAGGACAATGTAACGGCATGTGTAAATTGAGTCTCCTTATTTCCCTTTCACACATTATTACACACTTGGTCCTTATTACACTGACCAACTCATTCATTTGTTAATGTTACCTAATTTTTTTGCAATTGAAGGAGGTTAAACTCTCAACATTACAGCAAGCTAACATTGTTGTCATTTAAAAGCCTTAACAGGCTTTCACCCACCAATGACAGACTGTTCAATTGACTGACAGGTCAATTATGTTGATATTGACTGATGACTGATTGATGGTTTTGTCTTGTATTCTCATTCTCATACTGTTGTTGTTGTTTTATTTCATCTCATTTTATTGATCCAGAGACGCCATCATCACCAGCTCCATCAACTCCTTAACCAGTTTCTTCTCCGGCTTTGTGGTCTTCTCCTTCCTTGGGTACATGTCCCACAAGCACAACGTAGCCCTGGATAAAGTTGCCCGAGATGGTATGGTATTATTTGTCATACTCTTGTCAAATTAAATTCTAATATTTAATGTCTGCTTCAGTGTCCAATGCTCCAAATGCTTATTTGTTTGTTTGTGTTTTGTGCTGTTTTCTACTTTCCTTGGATTTGTTGTTCTGTAGGTGCTGGTTTGGTGTTTGTCATTTACCCAGAAGCCATTGCAACATTACCTGGATCATCCGTGTGGGCTGTTATCTTCTTCATCATGCTGTTGACTCTGGGCATTGACAGTGCTGTGAGTATGCACCCACCATCCCCAAAAGGCATTTCCGGCGATCGGCTAGGCTTAAAACAGGCCTTACCTAGTCCGTCGCTGGCCACAGTTTGGACTTTGTCGTGGCTCAAAAACTGACATCAATAGAGAGGTTTGGCCTCATTTTGAACCAGAGAATCTGCAGATTTATACCATACCCGAAATGTTACGATCTACCAAAGTAAGGAATTATACGAGATAAATACATCCCAGTTTGTGTTGTCTTCACCGCCATCTTGACTGTAAGGGAGCCAGGGGGAGAACTGAGTGAGATTCAACTTTATTTGGAAGGAGAGAGTGGGACACACCTGGCGAAGATCTACCCTCTAGCCTACTGATTGCACATTTCTTTCGTTTGTGACAAAAATTGTGTCAAACAGGTTGTGATGGTGCTGCAATAACTATGGTGTTTATGGGTATTTTAGCTCATGCACTGTTCACTGGATAAAATGTGAAATTAACAATTTTCATTTGTAATTTTTATGTTTTGGGGCTTCAGTGAAGCAATTATGCAATAACAAGTGGTCCATCTACAGTGGCTCACTGACTTTGTGTTTTAATCTAACTCTTCAGTGTCTTCTGTTGTAGATGGGCGGGATGGAATCGGTGATCACAGGTCTGATTGATGAGTTTAAATGCCTCCACAAGCACAGAGAGCTGTTCACCCTCTTCATTGTTGTTTCCACCTTTCTCATATCCCTCTTCTGTGTTACTAATGTAAGTATCATATGGGGGGCAGTCTTACACTTTCATACAAACATTTTATCATTTCCACAAACTCTGGTTGTAACACTGTCCGACAAACCAAATGACGACAAATATCTGCAAATGCAATGAAGTGAATCATCAGATTTATTTTCCTGTAACATACAATGAGGTGTATTTTAATAACGCCATCATTATACATTCATTACATGTTTCCTGTCTTTCCAGGGTGGGATGTATGTGTTCACTCTGCTGGACCACTTTGCGGCAGGAACATCGATTCTCTTTGGAGTGCTTATTGAAGCCATCGGCATTTCATGGTTTTATGGTGAGAGAGATAGACAGTAGGAAGGAGGAATGAAAAAAACAGAGGCATTATGTTTTCATACCCACCAAAGCTGATGCCATATTAAGGGTTTGATAAGAAATCACTTGGTATAGGTGTGCTGTGCCACAATGCCTCATAGTTCTATTAGACATAAGGATGCTACAGCTACAAAGTCCAGTCCCACCAATGGTTTCGACCTCCTCAGTCTCTGTGCATGTGTTGTTAAAGTACAAGGATATTCTGTAGCTGTGCTGCTCATAAGAGCTCAGTGAAGTTAAATGGCCAGTGTTTTGAACCCTGCCAATGCTACCTCTGTGTTCACTCAGCAGTGAGCGACTACACCACATAAAGAAAATTGCAGCTGGGGAACAGGCAATTCCCATCTGTCATGGGAGTCAGCTGTCTAATAGCTAGGTTGTAGAGTGTGGTGGGTGGCAAGTGGGGGTGACCTCAAACTCAATGTCTAAATTCTATTGACACTCGATTTTATCCAATTTTGCGATCATCTCAACAATGCTCTATGTTTTATATGTATCACTCATCCAACACACAAAATCCCTCTAAATGACTGTTCATCTCTGCATGAGATAAAAGAGTTTTCTTAGAGTGAATGACATGTCTATCAGGCACTCTATCAGCACAACACATAAGAAATACTTAAGTTGTGTAATAATAAATATCCTCTACATGCTACGGCCTCAAAAGATTCAACCCCGTATATGATGAATCAGCCATTTGGGGTTTCCTCCTTTTTCCTGTTTTATGTGTAAATTATTAGCTAAAGACCACCTTCTTTATGGCAGACATTCACCTTAACATGCAATTTTATCTACAGCACCACCAGCTAAAAACTGACTTTTGTTTTGTGTAAACCACATCTGGGGACTCCAGCAGGCACAAAATATTATAAAAACAATTTAAAGGTCAGGGGAAATGGTTTACGTGAACTTCCGTATTGCGTTTCTTGTCTCATGTCTACTGAACCTGGACTGTGGAGGGATCCATAAAGGGCTAAATACTAACCAGGCCCCAGGCGGTGGGGTCAGCATATTGCCCTACTTTGGTGGGTCCTGACCTTGACAAGTCAGATAAATCAAGCCTAAGGCTTCAGTGGGTCTTTTTTTTCCCATCTTCATAACGGTTAAGAGGAACCCTCGACCCTTGGCCATTGTGGTCTTTCGTTCTGCTGTCCACTACATAAATACACTAAGCTGTGCTGACTACCTGGGCGTCAGTCTGGATATATTCCTCTTCAGTGAGAGATGCCTTCCAGGCTGAAAAAAAACCCAATGTACAGCCAGGTTTAGAAGAAAAAGAAAGTCGTGATGAGGAAAAGATGTTGCAGTGGCTTATTACAAATGGTTCTGCAGAGTGACTTTAGTCACCTACTGTCTTAATAATATTTTCAATACATGTTATTCAATTATAGCAAAGTATTTCCATGTTTCAGGAGTGGACCGATTCAGTGACGACATTGAAGAGATGATTGGCCAGCGACCAGGCAGGTACTGGAGGCTGTGCTGGAAGTTTGTCAGCCCCTGCTTCCTCCTGGTGAGTCCATGCACAGACTGCGCTGCACATTGGAATTACAAAATTTAAAAGGACATACAATTAACAGCGAATATTTTTGAACTGATGCTTCCTCAGGTCTTTTGCATTTAAATCATTTTCTTCCATAGTTTATGGTGGTTGTGAGCTTTGCCACGTTTAACCCTCCGAACTACGGCACCTACACCTTTCCTCCATGGGCTAACATGGTGGGGTGGTGTCTGGCCATTTCCTCAATGTCCACGGTGCCTCTCTACGCCATCTACAAACTCTGCACACTGCCTGGAAAGTTTTGCGATGTAAGTCGGAACTATGACTCCTCCAAAAATGGACTAAGGGGAAATGAGTGAGGATTAAGTAGGATTTGTCTTGCCAGAGACGTTTCATTAAAGATCAAGTATTCTTTTAAAATGTCTAACTTTCTACGATGTCAATTTCACCTCTCCCTTTCTCCTGAAACAGAGACTGGCTTATGCCATCACCCCAGAGACGGAGCACCATTTGGTAGATAACGGGGAGGTTCGGCGGTTTACAGTAAGTGCTGACTTAATTTTTATTGTATCCTCAGAATTGTTTATTGGTGTTGTTGGCAGAAACCTCTGCAGCTTTTGGATCAATATTCATATTTATGATATTACAGATTTTTAGCCCATTTCAATTAAGCAGTAGAATAATGCAGTGTTTTATTTCATGGGCATGTTTCATTTTCCCCACAGCTGAATCACTGGTTGGTGGTCTGAACAGTAAAGAGAGAAAGAAAGAAAGAGAGAGAGATGATGAGAAAATGTACATTGGGTGGATGAATGAATGCACAGCAAAGGTCTGAAGAACTAAGATGAAAAAAGAAATGGTCATTTAAATTGATCGCGATGGTGGTTGCGGGGGTGGGAGCGGTCTAAAAGTTCAGACAAAAAAGAAACCATAGACATTGTAGTGTGTTTTAATTTCAAAAGTGGATGTGTGGAACTGTGCATTGACCCTCTCCACCATTGAGTTCACGCTGGTGAATGGGATTCAGTCAAACACGTAACGTGGTGTTTACACTGCTTCTTCCATAATACAAAACTCTTCCTGAATGGAATTGCAATGTTTTTTCTTTCATTACAATTAGAAAATAGTAAATATTATTTTCATGGTCATGGGTGAAGATGTCGCAGAGATGCACACAACATCTGGAAGAATTTATTGGATTGTTTTTGCAAATAAAGAACATTTAGATTTTTCCTTTATTTTCTCAGTTTATTATTATCAAGCAGTATCTGACATTTTTTTATTACATTTTTATTCAATTTTCATTCTGGATCAAAACAATATACATACAAATAATACACTTTTATTTATCAGTCAGACATGAATGCTACAGGCACAGGTTTGTCTGAATCCCAGTCCATGTCTTGTTTATTATATTTATTTATGTACTTGCTCTCATTAAAGACTGTTATAATATACATAATTCCTACAGACTTTGAAAAAAAAGACACCTACTTGTGTTTGCATCAAAACAATGTACAATAAATACCAGTTGCTACATCAATAGACCAAAATAACGTAATCGGATTTACCTAAACACTATGACAGAATAAACATTACCTGAGCTTTCTCACTGAGTGGCTCTCATTTCTTCACAAACAAAAAGGACTCGTCAGTAACAAATCAATTGTATTGATTGTCTGAAAATAAAAGTCACTTTCTCTTACCGCGTCCCTGCTTTTGTTCATGCTGGATGAACCATCACATGTATTCTAAAAACATAAATGAAACAAAGCCTGTCTATAATCAGACTTCAATAGGTTCAAACAGCTGTCCCAACGTCCTATCAGCCTATTAAGCGAACAAGCACACAACTTCCAAAAAAATAATTAGTGACACGTTGATAAAAACATCATCAGCCGCACTGCTGATTTAATTAACCAAAGACTAAAACAATGTTTTTCCTTTCAATCAATAGACCACTTGATTGTTAACTTTATCGTACCAGGTCAATGTCCCATCCCCTTATCAATAAGTTGGTGCAAATGCACATTTAATTTTAGTTTAATTGAACATTAGTTGCGTATTATTATCCCCACAGTGTTTTAGGTGGTGAAAAGTATCACTGTCACAAATCCAGAAAGCATGACGCTTTAATTATACCGTTTACAGAATCTTAAGTGTTTCAATACTGTTTAAAAAGCTGCTTTTTATTGAACTGCAAATTAATAGAGTGTAGTGTAATATATGAAGTATTTTAAGTTCTATATTTGTGTAAGTAAATGTAATGTAGAGGGGCTTGTTCGTATTGTACTGTATGATATATAACAAGACCATATATACACATAAATCCATATATATGTATCTATGTGTATTTCTATACATGGATTATTGCTTTGTTACTGTGAAGTTGATACATGTTAGCCTTAAGGATCGTAATGATAATCACGTGGAAAATCCACATGAACTCTCTTCTTATAAACTCTTTCTTAACCATTGACCATAAAACATTTTTTGAACTGGTCAGTAATGACTTGTTTTACATTTGTGGTACATGTAATACACTGAAGGGTTAATTAAATGATATGCATGTGCTGCTGTACTGTGCCTTGTGGTGTTTCTGACTGTATGACTTTTGTTTTGTACTGTCAAATAAAGTATAATTAATGAACTTATTTCATTTAAAACATCCCTCTCTGCTTCGCCCTTTTCTTTGATTCATTTTAGGATTAAATTACAATATATGTGCCACTTGTTACACTTTGCTCTGTAGCACTGCAATGGTTTTATATGAGGTCAGGCAGGGACACATATAAAACTGCATCCAAATGACCACTTGTGTGTTCTCTACATTTCATCACCATTCTAACATTTTGACAATTATGTAAAGCTTGATTCTCAAATAGAGATAAATCTGAGATTTGTTAGTTAAAAATCGTTTAACATTTTTCATGATCACAATTCATACATTCATACACATTCTTACACAAGCCTTTTCCCCCATTCACTGAATATTACACATTATTCTACCAATGTACGTGCACAACTCACAAGTATCCGATATAATGCATGCTGTTCAGTAGGTTGTCTTCAGAAGCTGTAGAAATAACAAAGTCTGAATACCCCTCCGCTCACTAGTCCCTTTCCAAGACTGCAGTAACGTAAGCCATGGTGACCCTGTTTGCCTTGTTTATAGGCCATCCTTATCAAAATAACACTACTTTTGGAGCAACGGAAGTCAGAAGGCGGCTGACGTTACCACAGTTTCACTAGCATGTTGGCGAACTACAGTGACCTTAATGTAACATAAAAACACAGTAGGCTCTAGCTAGAGCCAGTGTTTGGTATTTCTGTTCTGGGCTACTGTAGCAACAGGGCAGACTCCTGGAAGTGGACCTGCTCCCTATGTAGATAGGAAGGGCTCACTGTAAGTTAATGAAAACACGATTCTTGGTTTCAAGCAAATATACACTGATGGAAACATAGTTATGAATATCATATTTCATTTCTGCTTGAAGAGCCCCCGGAATGCTGCACACTGGCCCTTTAATGTTGTTTAACACACTGTGAAGAATAAATAAAGAGCACCATCATAATATTGTGTTCAATATTCCAAAATGAGACATTGGTCATGGCTTCCATCTAATGTGTATATATGTGTGTGTATATATATATATATATATATATATATATATATATATATAGGACAGCCCTATTGTAGTGAAGAGTACCTACAATGGTGTTGAGCTTTCTCAAGATTGGTCAGCATGACCTTGAATCAACAGTGTTCACTAGTAACCAAGGAGTCAAGACGCACTGTCTCAGGGACGATCCGCACAGACAGAGGACTGCATATCCACAGCAGACACAATTTGGAGATGATTACTATCTAAAAAGCTTTAGGATGTATTGACATCTTTACAAATCAGCATGTGGCCTTGCCATCATTGTAGAGTTAGACGTGTTCAGCAATGGTTATACACTATTGGCTTTTTGCAAAAGGAACCAGTCTTATTTATTTAAGGGAGGACAGTCTAACCTCCTGTTGTGCATGTTGGTTTATTGTCCTATAATTATGGTCTTACTCAGCAGTTACTTATTATAGGTTATTGTATCTACTCTTAAAAGAGGAAAATACAGAAATAAATGAGTTGTGGATACAATGCCCCTATCTTTGTCATTTCACCCTATTTCACTCCTGACCAAGCACAAAATCCCCGTGCACCGTTTGTCTAAACTGCAGCTGGGAAGAATGAATTTATTACTGCAACAAATCATTTTTTTTTCCATTCTATTTGTCTCCCTGTAATTGAGAGGGTTTTTAAATGTAAATATTCACTTTGCAATTGTTCTCTGCAATCCACAATAATTACCCACTCAGCAAGCCTCCAATGTTGGCCCATACAGCTTTCATAGAAGAGATCAGATGATCTTAATATGGCACTTTAGCTTTGATATACATTCATAGAGGACAAATACTGTTGTAACATAGAGAGCTGATTAAATGTATACATTTCGCTCTCTCTCCAATTAGAACGTGTAACAGTAAACCAGTTAATGTCAGCCATACTGTTAACTATCAATCATTCTTTTTACATCTTATATCACATGGAAGGGGGTCCTTAATGAATCTAAATGTGAATGTTTTTTAATACCTCCTTTCCTCCATTTGTTGTCACTGAATAAGGGCTCCGTAAAATGCTCTGTGGTTTTCCAAACGATGTCAGGTTAGGACAATCGCAAAGCAATTTTGGCCATGCAAGGATCGGGTTTAAAAGGTGCCATTATCACAACCAGTAAACAACACCAATTATGTATAATTTCATGTCTTGCCTCAAACGTTGCAACTGAAAGGGTATACACAAGGACAGGTGGTGCACGGCACTGTATGATTTGGGGTTTGTCTTAACATATGCCAGGTTTCCATCTAAATGTAGCACAAGTTTTAACAGAATTTTCTGAAAAGTGGTAAAAGAAAATGCAAATTCTTTTGCATTTCCATGCAAATATGTTATAGTTAGTTCACCATTATAAGCAGTAGATAGCGCTAATTCTGAAGTCAGGTGCCATTTTACTATTGCGGAAGAAGAGGGCGCAATGAGATGACATAATTAAAAGAGCAACAGTCAAACCCCAGATGGTGGGAACAAAATGTAGAAAACGTGATGTAATTATGACATTCATGTTTTTTTCATGTCAACCCGTTCTCACTCCCATCTCCTCAATTACAAACGCTTGGTCAGTACCCCTTGGTGTCTGATTCCAATGCACCGGGTCACCCTTTAGCTTCTGTGTGAGATGCAACGGTATGAAAGGCAATTCTCACAAATAACATCTTAGAAAATAAATGATGCATCAAAATGTAGATTTTTTACACCTTAAGACATCAAGTTCTATACTCGATACTTTCAACTAACTCCCATGTAAACCCGTCATGTAAACCACGTCAGTATTAGACTGTCAGAGCAACTGACGTATAGAAAGAGCGAGGAAGTCCTTGTATGGCGGAAGGGAGGGGAGGATGGACGGCTCAAACAAACACAGGACTTTCACCCAGGAGAACGCTGTTTCGTGTATGGAACACATTTTGCACGAATAACGTCTTCATGTTGACTTATTTACCACTTTTATACGTTGCCTACTTACGCCATTTACGTAACGCATGTAGTTATTTTACGTAACAAACACCTGAACCACAATCTTTTCCTAAGCTTATCCAACTACTTGTGTTGCCGAAACCTATAACCAAGTTTTGTTTCGTAAGTAAACCTAAAAACTAAGTAAAGCTATATCGGAAGTTTATTTTGAAAAGACACTGTAGGCCAAGTCTGTTGCCATTGCACTTTCTCACATTTTGCTTTTGTCAATACACCGACTTTTCCACCTCATCATTTTGTAACTCGCCCCAGACTCAAGACAATAACAGACTGTGAGGTTGCAGCTAAACCTTAACATTGGAACTCTCCCCTATTGGACTTCAGATCTGTGAACACTGAGGACCCCTTTAAAAAGTAGCTCAAGACCCACTTGTTCAGACTTGATTTTAGTTTCTCATTTAATTATATAATTGTTCTGGTTTTAGCATGTTGCTCTATGTCTGCATTTCATGTCTTGTATTTGTTATGCTGTCTTTAATTGTGAAGCACTTTGTGACATCTTGAAACTTACTTACTCACGAGGTACTGTTAGCTTGAGCGCATGCCATTTGGAGAAAGAGACAGGACAAGAAACTGCATTTGATCTGAGTGTTGCTCAATTTGGAATTGTCACTGAAAGTGTGTGAAATTGTAGGTTTA